TATTTTCACTAAACACTTGTGCCTCTCTGCACTTTAAAACGGTGTGCCTCTTTTGCACTTCTAAAACCCTTGTGGACTTTCTTTTCCCTTTTTGTTTTTTTTAGAGGGGACCCCAAAATTCCCTCAAGGTTAAACGTCAAATAAACCTGACTATTGTTTTATCGCGTCCGATAAAACGCCCATCACGGCGGGTCTGTCCACACCTGCAGTCATGCTGGGCCGAGACCTCTCTGTCCTCTATTAAAAACAATGTGCAGATTCTCAAAAATATGATCTGCTTACCTGTGTTTTGCAGAGTAGAGAGCTCCCAAACCCACAGACCCGGTTTCTCTATCTGAGCTCATCTTGCGTCTTCTTTCTGTATCAAATCACGTCTGGGTCACCATCTGTTGACATTTATTTCTCTTTACAATTAAATGTTGATACAGAACTCCCGGAGCTCCTCCCTAAATCTCTATCCCTGTGCTCTAACTCCCCCCAATGTGTCCTCCCAACGGTTTTATCAGAATCTTCGATGACGTCACATGGTCTGACGCTGGTCCCAGTCTGGTTTTGTCCAGTTTTGTGTCTCAGGCCGCTAGAGACACGCTGTTCCTGAAAATGATACTTTTATCACAGAAGCCTTGTCCTTGGTGCTTGTCTGAATTCCATTAAATCCAGGCTTTAATATTGCACAAAGACATGTTTGCAAACACCTACTGGAAATCATTAGTATACAACATTATAATTCTACAACAACTGACAGTCTGAGGAGTTAGCCTTCCCTGAGTCTTACCTTCCTAGCCATATGCTAAACTAAAGAGGATTGTTTTAAACCTAGCCTTGAATAAAGAGAGCGTATCTGAAAGGAGGCGAGACAGCAGCAGCCACGGCTAGGCTAGTCTAGGTTACAGCACCAAGATTCATGGATTGCACACCAGGTGTGCAAACCGATCCAGGCAAACCTAATTATATATCATATATATCACATGTACCATACATATTACATATATTATATATAATACATAACATAACATACAGCATAATATATAACATAATATACAACATAACACAATACACAACATAATACATATATTGTATAATATATAACATAATAGAGCATATATATATAATATATACACCATATATTATATATTACCTAATTATATTCTAAATTAAAGTAGAGTGCTTTAAGCCTGGCCTTGAATGTGGAGACCGTATCTGCTTCCTTAACATAAATGGGAAGCTGATTCCAAAGTAAAGGAGCTTGGTAGCTAAATGCTCTGCCGCCAACAGTGATTTTTGAGACCTTAGGAACCACCAGACGTCTGGCGTTTTGTGAGCGCAACGCTCGACTTGGTTGATACGACACTAACTAAGAGGGAGCCAAGCCATTTATGGCTTTATATGTTAAGAGAAGGATTTTAAACTTTATTCTGTACTCCACAGGGAGCCAGGAGTGATTTTAACACAGGAGTTATGTGCTCCCTCCTTTTGGTACCTTAAGATCCTTGCTGCTGTATTCTGAACGAGCTGGAAGCTCTTTAAAGAGGTTTTAGGGCATGCTGTCAGTAAAGCGTTACAGTAGTCGAGCCTTGAGGTGACAAAAGCGTGAATAGGTTTTTCCGCGTCACTTTTAGGAAGGAAATTCCTCATTTTAGCGATGTTCCGTAAGTGGAAGTACGCCGTTTTAGTCGCTTGGCTTATATAAGCCTTGAAGGAGAGTTCCATCCATCCATCCATTTTCTACCCTTTAATCCATTTCTGGGTCAGGGGGGTGGCAATCAGAGATGCCACCCAAGTCTCATAGCACCAGCTGAAGGAGAGTTCTTGGTCAAAAATGACTCCAAGATTCCTCACAGTGTTACTGGGTATAATACTGACATTATCGAGAGTAATTATCTCGTTAGTGAGGGTGTCACGCAGGCGCTTCGGACCGAGTAGGATCACTTCTGTCTTCTCCGGGTTGAGAAGTAGGAAGTTAAGAGTCATCCACGTTTTAAGGTCCTTTATGCAGGCACTGAGCTTTTCTAGCTGATCTGTCTGATTTGGCTTCATCAACAGATAAAGCTGTGTGTCATCTGCATAGCAGTGGAAATTAATTTCATGCTTTTTAATAATGTTTCCTAACGGCAGCATGTAGAGAGTGAAAAGAATCGGTCCGAGCACTGAACCCTGCGGCACACCGAATTCCACTCCAGAATAAGGCGACGAGTTCTGATTTACGTTGACGAAGTGATACCGATCTGATAAATAGGATTTAAACCAGCCAAGGGCTGTTCCTCTAAGACCTATATCACATTCTAGCCTCTGCAGTAGAATGCTGTGGTCTATTGTGTCAAATGCAGCACTAAGGTCCAGTAGGACCAACACTGACACTTGTCCATTATCAGCAGCTAGTAGTAAGTCATTTGTGACTTTGACTAGTGCCGTTTCAGTGCTATGATGAGCTCTGAATCCTGATTGAAAGACTTCAAACATTTTATTTTCCTGCAGGTGGCAGCAAAGCTGCTCGGCTATACGTTTTTTCAGGATTTTAGATATGAAAGTCAGGTTCGAGATCGGTCTGTAGTTTGTAAATATTTCTGGGTCCAGGTTTGTTTTCTTCAGAAGGGGTTTGATTACCGCGGTTTTAAAAGCTTGTGGGACGTAGCCACATTGTATGGATGCGTTTATTATATTTACGATAGGCTCAATTATCAAAGGAAGTATGTCTTTGAAGAGCCAAGTGGGGATTGCGTCTAACATGCAAGTTGAGGCTTTTAAGGATGTGACCTCTGCTTGGCTCACAGCCATGAATTTATCAAGGCCCATTGAAGAGTCTAACTGAACAGATGGGGGCTCAGAGGTTGTGGCAGAGCAGCTCTGCACCCGGGCCTCAGTTCTGCACCGTCATTTGAGCCGGGCAGAACAATTTAAAGCCAGGGCCAACTTCTTAGCCAAAAGGGATGTACCCGCCAACGTTGGGTGGATATCATCCGAGCGGATGAGACCGGGCTTTCCTCAAAAGGCACTCCAATTGTCAACATGAACAACACCACTTCCATTTATTTACTAACCAGATACCAAATAGGTTAATGCCAGAGGCAGAGATCTACATTATTCCATTTGTAAAGATTAGGTACATAAAGCCATGGCAGAAAATCCTACTCAAACATGAATATGTATGGTTTCTGAAGATTCATTTTGTCTTCTTAGTAGAATTATTGAAAGTATTGGGACAGAAGTTATCCGTTGAAACATGTCAAGGGAATAACACCACACAACCTTATATTGTCTGGTATAGAAGAACCCAATACTTTTAATGAACATATGTGATTCAAGATTCAAGAATTTATTTGCCATTTGCCATAAAACCACATTGGAAAAACTGTGCAAGACTACCCCAGTGTGCACCCAATAAATAGCACACATCAGAGTTCTTGCCACTGCGTGTCTTAATGTAGGCTTCATCAAGGCATTTTAACTAAAATACATACACATACTGCATACCAAATTAAGATACATACACATACCGCAGAAATTGAGTCTATAAATGCGCTTTTGAATTTCTTTCAATTGCTCGCATTAGAATTGCAAATAGGGCATTATTTATGACATGCCAGACCCTTGCCATTCTAGTGGAATGTGGAGAAATGCCTCAGAGTGGGTGGGGAGAGCGAGAAGAAATGGGTCTGAACAGAAAACCAAAAATAAATAAGTGAGTAAAGTTTATTTATATTGCACAGTTCAGAGATCAAGGTCACCCAAAGCCCTTTACGATGTGAAGAAGATGACATAGTCTGGGATCGCGTCTTTCATTCAGACAGAAGACATGTTTTATTGTCAATGGTAGAGACAGCACGAACAACACGAACAACAGATACAACAGAATAAGTAATTAGTAAGTAATCTTACAACATTCTGTAAGATTCTGTAAGAACAACTTCTGCATACAACAGAATGCAAGTGTATTATACAGAGCGGAGGCATGGAGACCTCCAATCAGCAGCTGCCACGGCGTGCTTGTAGCTTGGCCTTCAGATAGACAAAACAAGGAAAAAGTACAGGCTTCTGCACATTGATAGAATGATGAGTTTAACTTTAACAAAAGTTGCTTAAAAGTGTTATGAAATCTCACAGATGTTTAGAGTTCAGATATGATCCATTCTCTCCACACACACAGTGATGAAGGAAGAAAGACGCCGAACACTGCATCAAGGCCCCAACAAACACCATCCATTCACTACATTCAGACCCTTTGTTTTTAGTGGTAGGGGAAGTTGAAGCACCCGGAGGAAACCTACGCAGACGGGGGGAGGGGCACATGCAAACTCCACACAGAAAGGCCAGGAGGTGGTCGAACCCATGACCGTCTTGGCGTGAAATATAAGCACAAATTATGGCTCTCGGTTCCACCCGGTTGTTCTTTATTCTGCAATACTAAATACATTGTTTTAAATAAATGTATGATACTAGAGAAGTATCTTTTCCCTGCATAGTTCTAAAGTTAAATATTTCTTGGACCGTTATTTATTCAAAGGTTATTTAAGATTAAGAGATGCCTTATCTGTTCCACAGTAGATAAATATCAGTGTTGCGTCATAAGTTACAGCACACAACACAAGATAACCCAACTCCTTACTTTGAAAAAAAAAAAAAAAATCTATCTTTAACTTAATTTCGAAACAAATATACAATTTACAGTACACTCTAGTGCAAGAAATGTATACTTGTATGTATACCTCTGTAGATAAATCTGTAGCACACTTTTGCACGAATATTAGTAGTAAAAGTGAAATTAGAAGTCAATTTTCAAATACAAAAGTCTAAACAATTCAAGACATAGTTTAAGGAAAAGTCAAGTTTACCCCAATAGATCCATGAATTTAACACATGGATCGATTATATTAACGTCTCACCCGATATTGTAATAGATCCATGGTCTTCACAAGTGCTGTATATGACTGCAGTATCACCTGACACCAGTGGGGGCGGTGTTCTGGGAGGCAGTATAATCATCCACGAAGGAGGATCTATACATGTACACAACAAACATGGCGTCCGAGAGGGAAGCGCCCGTGCCGAGTCCACACGTGGGGAAAAAGAAGAAGAAGGTAAACTTTAATACATTGAATTCTGTGTTTTTGGACAGTAACTTGTCAGGTGATGAACGTGTTTAGTTTTCAGTTTTGTACCCAGCAGCTTTATTGAAGTCTTTACAACACTTAGGCTAAACATGCATTCATTTGAAGAAGCATCTAGCTAGCTGCAGAAGCATCAATGTCTCTTTGGAGAAAACTAATGTGCGTTTTGACAGCCTGCAGCTCGTTACTGGGATGAGGACCCCAAAGGAGAGAAGAATGACAACAAAACAGAAAACAATGATGTTGAAAGTGGAAAAAAATTATCAAACAAACGAAAACGGGAGGCCGATCTACACCATGCGAGCAAAGGAAAGAAGATTTTTCTATCTGGGGTAAAGTCGCTTACTATATTTTGCGTTACTTACAATGACGGGTCTTATTTATTGGATTTGTGGCATTGTGGGGTGATCTGCTTCCACATTAGCTGCATTCATATATATGTTGTTATTATTATATTATTACAGTCACGAGGTCCAGATAAGAAATGCATAACAACAAGATGCGTGTGTTTATATGCTAAATAAATAGATTTTACAAGGAATATTGTGTGGAACTTTCCATTCTAGAGTTATTATATTTTCTCTTAAATAGGTGATTAGTATTTAGTTTTGCTCAGTGGGTGATGTCCAGGTCTCACTACATGAAGGTTGTGGGTTGTATTCTCCTTCCACATGCTTCTCCTGGTGTCTGGATGGACTGGGTGCTCCAGTTCAATAATGCACAATAGTGTAATTAACCTTTCCCACTGTAAACGTCCTAGTTTAATTATCCTAACTGAACATAACATTTTGGATGACTCAATTCTATTCTTATGATACATGAGATTAGTCTGTTGTATTGTGATGTTATCCCTGGCTGTTGTTTGTGATGTTTTTTGTTCTTCTTGTAGAAAGATGATCCATTTCCAGGACCAGCACCCATCCCTAAAAACAGAATCGAGAAGTTCAAGAGAAAAGGAGAAACAATGCCAAAAGTATGATTTTTATATAAAAATTTGTGAAAAGAAATCACATTGTCCTGACACATCAATGTCATTTGTCCAGACACGGAAAAAGAACCACAAGTTGAAACGACTAATGGCACAGTCAAAAGATTTGTCTACAATGTCCCAAAACCAAGCGGCACGGTTTGACCTCCTCCTACCTGAAGATGAGGGGTAATCTAAAGTTTACTACGTTTTACGTTAATTCTTGAAGTAGTGAAAATCAATAACAAACTATGCGATTTTTTTTTTTTTTCCCCCCTAGGTTTCTTGAAGGAGACGAAGGAGAAGACACATGTACGATTTCTCAGGAAGATATAGCAGAGGCTGTAGACATCTCTTCTAGTGCAAAGGTTTGTATAGAATCGTCTAGCTATTTCACCCTATGTTTCCGAATACTCAGTAAAGCAGTATTGCATTTAATGTAGTCAAAGTACTCGACCTGAAAAGCTGAACATTCGTATATTATTACATTTGGACTTGGTTTATACAGCGCGTTTAATAGACCAGGGTCACCCAAAGCACTTAACAATTGTCACTATGAGATCTGATTGTTTTCAGCCCTTTACTAATTTTACTTTGTTTAACAACCATTACATCCTTCTGGTCTTCCCTTTTCATTTCTAACAGAAAGTTGTTTTGATGCAATATAATGAGCTCATACAATCCACTTTCTAGGCCCTCGTCAAAAAAAGATATGGAGTTTCATTTATTTTTGATGAAATGGGTTAAGAATGCTGTTTTATTATTGTTAAAGATTAAGTGTGATTCTCTCCTGGTCAACAATTGTAGCATACATTTTTCTCCAAGTACATTTGTGAAATGTTGTTTGACTTTATCAAACCTGGGCTATTACCGAAAGTTCTGTATATTTCCTATTGTTTAATTCACATGTAAGTTTTATTAATCATTGTCTCCATTTACCTCTATTGGTATCAAAGTGAGTGTCAGGTAATTGCAGCAAGAGAATCAGAATCAGTTTATTTGCCATTTGCAGAAAAAAACTACATTGAGTGAAGATAAGCACTGGTTAGATGCTTTCTCACCCGCAGCCTCCTGATTGGACAAAATTAATTAAAATGCTTGAGCCCCCTTCTCATTAAATTATTCTCCTCCAGCAAATCTTACTTGTTGTAGGGATGGGACTGTTTTTAATATATTTTTGTGAAAAAATACCTGAGATACACAAGATAGATAAAATACGATTTTAATTGCTGTCATTATTTTTGTTTAATGTTTGTGCTAATGGTGCCTCTGTCCATTTCCAGTATTTCAATCTTAAGCTATCTCAGTTTGGACCATACAGATTGGACTACAGCAGAACAGGGAGGTCAGTGATGGACTTACACATACATACATGATTTGTCAAGGTGAATTTTCAGTATATTCTTTAAAAATGTTTGTCTTTGGCTCTGATTAGACACCTGCTGCTTGGTGGGAAAAGAGGCCATATCGCCTGCATGGACTGGCAGTCGAAACAGCTGATGTGTGAAATAAATGTCCTGGAGTCTATTAATGATGTGAAGTGAGTCATCTTTACGTAACATACAACTTCCACATATCTTTCTTCTTTGCTTTTCTTGATTAAATAAAAAAATACATTGTTTTTCCATAGATGGCTTCACAGTGAGTCCATGTATGCAGTGGCACAAAAGAAATGGCTTTATATTTATGACTCTAACGGAATAGAGCTTCACTGCATCCGCAAATTCAATGACGTTCTCCGGATGCAGTTTCTTCCCTACCATTTCCTACTGGCCACAGCGGTATGTTTGTTTGTATTTGTTACTAAAAGTAGAAAGGAGCTGTGTAATGTGAATCGCCTTCTTTGAGCTTTTGACATTGTTCTCATCAAAAACAGACCTGGAATTGTTTTTATATCCATCCATGCTATGATCTTGAGCTTCTGGCACAAACATGTAACTCTGCCCCCTTCCATCTAAAAGCTCCTGTCCCAGTTCTGTAATGAGTATTCTACCTTTTTTTTTAAACTAGAGTATTGCCCCTAAATTGGTTCTTGTGGAGCTGGTAGTTTTCAAAATTGGGATAAAAATTGTCTGGTATAGAACCAAATGACTTTATTCTACTTGGAGGAGATGAACCTTCCTTAACTAAAAACAAATTCAACCCCTCCCTCTGGTGGTAGCAAAGGGAGTCACAGGTATAAAGGATGCTAAAGTATTTTTACTGGCAAAAAGTAATGCATAATAGTATGTCCTCTTTTAAAATGATGAAAGAGTTGTGTTGATCGGTTTGTTTATGTTCTCTCAGAGTGCCACAAGTTTTCTCCAATATCTCGATGTCTCGGTCGGGAAAGAGGTAGCTGCTTTCTGCACCAAAACAGGGCGTCTTGATGTGATGTGTCAGAATCCTCACAATGCCATCATTCACCTGGGACATCCCAACGGCACTGTCACACTCTGGTCTCCAAACCAGAAGGAAGCTCTGGTGAAAATGCTCTGCCATCAGGGAGGAGTGCGCTCGGTCAGTGTGGACAAGACTGGCACGTGAGTGAATATAAGATAAGATTTCCTTTGTTCGTCCCACAGTGGGGAAATATTTACTGTCTTTTAAATGCATCTTTTCTGTGTACTTTTCTTTCATGATACATTTTGTGTCTTCTAAATGCCCAAAAAACACTTTAACTGGAAAAATAAAAAATTGTGACTGCATAAATGTTTTTTTCCCCCAGTTACATGGTGACCTCGGGCATGGACAAAAAGCTGAAAGTGTTTGACATACGAACATTCAAACCTCTAAAATCCTACTTTCTTCCTGCTGGAGCATCCTGTCTTTCTCTAAGTCAGAGAGGACTGTTGTCTGCAGCCACAGGTGACGTCGTACAGGTATTGACTTAAACATTTTGAAGTTTAAAAAATATATATAATTAGAGTAGAATCAAGACATGAATTAAAACATTTTAGGGGCTGATTTCCCCACTGTGAGACTAATAATGGCAGAGACAGGAGCACAAGCAGTATGCGGCTACCATAAATTAATTGTACTTTCAATTAATAATTATTTCAAGGATACATATTTTTGAAAATATGACCCTGTAGTGTAGTGTAATCTAAATTGAGTATTTTTCCCAATTGTTTAAAGAAGTCTCTCCCCTTAGAATAAACCTTACCAGTAAGATTTGCAAGAGAAGAACAGTTGGACCAATGGCGAGGGGTGTCAGCTGTCAAGCAGAGATTGGATATCATTGCGTCCAATCAGGGACCTGTGAGGGTCCCTGATTGGACGCCCGTTGCCCGTTACAGTACAGAAGGCCCAGGCCTTCTGTACTGTAACGTTTTGCTCTTATTCCCACAAGCTGATATCAGTTTGAACAAAGCACTTTCATTTAATTTAATAGTTGTTTCACAGTGACTATTGCTTCTTGTACTTTTATAGCTTGTTTTATCTATGTACTCGTCTGCTGCACACTGGGGTACTTTTGCACAATGTGGAACAAAAATTGCTGTGTGCAGGTTTACAGAGACGTGTGGCGCACTCCTGTCACAAAGCCCTACATGGCCCACAGAGCGAGGGGGTCCGTGTGGGGGCTGCACTTCTGCCCCTTTGAGGACGTGTTGGGAGTGGGACACGGAGATGGATTTACAAGCATGCTCGTACCTGGAGCTGGTGAACCCAATTTTGATGGCCTGGATGCTAACCCCTACCGCAGTGCGAAGCAGAGACAGGAATGGGAGGTCAAGGCTCTCTTGGAGAAGATCCAACCAGAACTTATTACTCTCAATCCAAACAAACTTGGAGAAGTCGACCGTGCAACGTTTGCTCAAAGGCACAAAGACCGGGTTGAAACTCTTGTCAGTATCAACTTTGTTATAAAATTGTATTAACTGTATTTTTATTAATGCTAGTGTGTATTTGTTGTCACAGGGGTTTGATCCTCTTGCAAAGGAGAAGTTTGTTCCCAGGTTCAAGAAAAAGGGCCGTAGCTCCTCTGGTGCTGTTGAAAAGAGAAAGAAGCAAGTGGCTCACGAGGATCAGAGGGTAAGTAAAACTGAAGCTTTCGATTTTTATTAGATATATATAGTTAACACTTTTGTCTCTCCTAGGAACTAATTAAGGAAAGCGTCGAAGTCAAAATGAGGACTGAGAAAGAGCACAAAAAGAACAAGGCTTCAGTTGTATCTGGACATAAATCTGCACTTGACAGATTCAGAAAGTAATGTAAACGAAAGCTACAGAAACCACAATTGTTGGTCACTGACACAAATAAGCCTCGACACAGGAAGCATGTCGTGTCAAATCCAGACAAGGTCATTTTCACTGCTGGCCCTGTTTCTGCCCTGGGCATCATGCTGTTAAAACAACTATTGACTAACTTCCAAAATGACCCAAATAAAACACCATCAATAATAGTGAGAAAAAGTGTTTATTTGGTGATACATTCAGACCCAACATTTTGTGCTGTGCAGACATGTCAAAAGCTGGTATTTTTTCATCTATTCTCATAAGCATTATGAGCAAATGGAGACGACCTTGTTAGGTTAGAGTTGGCCGATATATATCATGTTTTTAATACTCATTGTTTATATCAAAGTCTGTGAATAAAACTTCTTACCTTGCCCAATGAAACAAAACAAAAGGACCGATGTATTGTTTTTGTCTTGTCAGAGCTCATTATTATATGAGCTTGAACTGAGAAATTCCTGTTTTTGAAATGGTCTTTGTTTAAAGATAGCGAGAAAATATAAGGAGATTTGTGTTCATAGTACTATTAAAGTAACCTAATTTGACCATTGTTTCCCTGAGCGAGATGCTGCTTCAGCAATAATCAAATGCAGTCAAATCCGTGGGTATAAACTATAGACTGTATAAACCAACACAACTCCTGAATGTGGGTGATAGTGACTGACAAAGAATACAAAAGTGGACTTTTCTATCAAGATAAAGACAGCAAGGCTCATTGTCTGGTTTGTTCAACATTTAACTTTTACAAGATTCTTTCTGTTGGGACAAATGTCTGATTTATGCAAAAATAAGTTCTGTACCCCAGCTTTATAGTGAAAGCAGCATAATAAATTAGATAGCCTTTGTAGGATCTGTGCAAATGGCATCTCTTGCTATAAGTCACAGTAATGGAAATTCTAAAATTTAGAATCGAAATTGTTCATAGGTTTCTACAGACCCTGCTCAAGTCCCAAGGCAATCCCCAGCATTGCCCTAATTTTGCAGAGCCCTAAAGAAGCCCTAACACTCAACCAGGAGCAGACAGGGCCCGCCTGGATGTCTGCCCAGAATCTCAGCATGTCCCGGGGAGGGACCCTGTGGACCGAGACCATGGCCTGATAGCAACATCTGCCATAGGGGACACCAGGACCTCCAGAGAACAGAGCGCAATGAGAGGGGATGACACCGGCAGCCCGCGCACATATACCCACAAATACATCTTCAGGGGGTAAAGGTGTGGACAGGGACAAGGCTGAGGCTGCGAGGGAGATTTTGAGCAGTGCAGATCGGGAGAGAACATACGCGGTCCCGCTGCAATAGTCTGGGAACACGGATTGGGAGAACGCGCCTGCTGGGAGGTAGTGCTTACTGGCCGGGTTACGATTGGGGGCCACACGCATGTGCACCCTGCCCAAATACAAGTCCCCGTGCTCGTATGGGCTCTTGCTTTTGTTGAGAAAGTGGAGCAGAGCGCGTGGGTTAAAAAACACATCATCATCCGCTTTGACCATGAAATGCGCTTGCGGGCAGAAGCGACGCGCCCACCCGAGCATGGACAAGCTTTTCAGGGTGAGGTTGGCGTACGTGTCCAGAAAGCGCCCCTGGATTAGATCTCCTCGCTCCCTGGCCTCCACTACGAGCAGTTTCCCCAGCACCGGGTCTGAAGGCACACCCACAATGAAGAGAGTCATGACCCGGAGACCTTCCACCTCCACCTCGCCACCCCAAGTGTCCCGTATGGCTTGCCTCGCTCTTTGATTCGCAGGGGCAGAAGTTACCATTGTGATGATGTAAGGCTTGGCGCGTTGGCACACGAGCGGACTGGGCATCAGAAGGAATTCCTCGGGACGCATAGGAGGCACGTTCTGCAGGGATATGATGCCCGTGTGTGGCTCCAAACCCTTGCTCATCCCGGCGGCTGTGACCCATGACTCGATGTAGTCCAGAAAGAGCACAGCCAAAACCGCGGTTGACGCTATTGCAACGCACACAGAAGGCAGCACTCCAGGTCTCCCCCCTCGCTTTCCCAAACGAGGCTTACATATCCGTCCGAGCATGACCAGACGTGATGCCTTAATGCGCAGCTCGTACGCAACGTTATAGGAGATCAAAGACGCACCGCTGGTCGCCTACGTCATTGCATCTTCACGTCCAAGCCTCTGTAAATTGGCAGATCGTCATTCGTGGTGGAGAACTGGACTAAAAGTTCGGTTCGGGCGTCCCATTCGTGTTTGTCCGCGTCCACTCGGCACAAAGAGGATGTGCAGTTGCGCAAATGATCTAGTCAATTCAGCAGTAGCCTCAGGACACAGGGTCTGACTCCCATGGATTGGATGCTGCATTGTGTCAGTGGAGATAGCGCTTATAACAATATTTTATTATCCTTAGATCTAAACAAAACGTAGGGTGCTGCGACGGAGATCTCAACTCACTAATCACGGAATGTATGATCGACATTACTGTAAAATAGACAAACTCTTAGTAATTGGCTGTTCTTGTAGTTTTACTGTAGAAATACCAATACTGTGTAGAGCGTCATTTCTCTCACATGAGCCGCCTTTCTCTACTGACCCCTTGTGGTATGACAGCGGTATCACATATCCATAAGATTGAGAGATCCTTTATGTCCCACAAAGGGGAAATTTCAGTGTTGCATCACCACTTACAGCACAGTAGGAATGGGAAGCACACAAGACAAATGAACAATAACTCTGCTAGAAAAATATATATATATATATATATATATACAAATCTGGGAACCAATTTATATTTTTTGGCAGTTACATCATGGTTTTCGGTTCTGGTTCATGACATGAGCAGCTCTTTTTTGGTTCCTTTCCCTGTGTGAATAAGGATTTAAAAGGAAAAATGTCATTTCTGAGGCCCAGAATTGCCCTAACTTCTTCTAAAGAGCCCTGAGGCTAAAAAGTCATTCTTTTGTGCCAACTTTTGGTTCCAACTTTATGTGGTAACACTAGAACCCAGCCCTTGTGAAAGGAAGATTACTTTTTAATAACATATATCTTAACATATCTAAAGCAAACATTGTTCATGTAATTTTCTTGTCATGTGGTTTGATCAGGTTCTCTTGTCATTCTTGAGTATGACTTGAATGGCTCATGTACCATATATGGGATTACAACATTATACAGTTTTAAATTCCGAATATTGTCAGCGACTTTAATCAAAACTGCTTTGAATTGCTTAATGAATACACTCATGTCGTGCCATCGAAAGAGTCTATTAACCAACATTCTTTGAACTATTGTGAGGATTAGATAGCTATTTGACCTACGGAGGACAACTGCAAGACTACAAGGACTCTGGTGCATCTATGTTTTGACTATGTACTTGTAACTGTCTCTGTGTGACACGTATGTCTTTCGATGTGTGACGTGACAATGACTATATAAACTGTGTACTGCCTTTATTCTGTCTGAGAGAAAGAAACATCAGAAACCAAAATAAACTTCCAGAGTTTGGCGCACCACGATCCGTCTCTGTCTGGTTCATTCCTGACACTATTCAGACCAAAAATCTCAGTTCTGTCTAATTTTTCTTTTACACACTGAGGCTGAGTGAGAGCGGGTACTCTCCTAAAACAGATGGTCTAAAGATGTGACACAGGCCAATTAAAGCTGATGATAGAACCAAGCTGTTACATGGACTTATTAGTTGTTTGTTGTTTCAAAGTCTCTAAAGATCCTTGTCTCATCTCTTCAGCCACATCCTTAGTGCTGGGCAGACTGCATGCTCAGTTTCCTGTTCTTCTCACCACACACCACAGAAGATAGAAAGGCTTTATCCCTGGACTGGACTTTTCCGAGACGACATGACGTCAACGGTGTCTGTGGCAGAGGTGCACGCGCACACACGCGCGAGCACGCGGCGGAGGAAACACATTACGCTGTTGAGCGGGGTCACGAACTATGACCTCTAACAGAAGAAAAACATTAGAAATAGTTTGTAAATATGACGTGACAAGTGCTACTGCAGACGCCACTCACACCAGGTAAGACCCGGGCCGCAGCAGAGCGCCCGCGGAGCCTGTGGGAACGCGCCAAGCTCCTAATGCCCGGTTAGCGTTAGCATTAGCATTAGCATTAGCATCAGCTCTCCTTCCGCAGCTGTGATCTGCGGAGGAGGCTGCAAACTGTAAACAGGCTGTATGTGTGCGACACTGCCTGTGTCCTGGACTAATGTGTCCCGTTAAAGACTCTGACTGAGGCGGAGAGCAGTGCTCCAGCCTTCATGGCGCTGTGTCGAACCATAGACTGTAAAGAATAACCATGGATCGAGTAGTGCTGCTGCTGCCGACGCCACAAAGATGAACTCGACCCTTTTACCTTTGGCATCTCAATGACAGCGGGACTACGGTCTGTCTGCTGGCGTTTTATCAGCAAATTACATTTTTAGGTTCACTAAGGAATATTATTTTACCTTTTAGTATGAAAGCTCAAAAGCAAATCTTTATGATACTTACTAATAAATGTCATATGTTATCCACCGCAGAGAGGGTGGGGTAATAAAAATGACAATGGCTAAATTAAATAAAGGAGTTCCTCTTTATAAATCTAATCTTCAAATAGTGAAAAAAATAGATGTTGAGCATAATGAATGTATTCTTCCATTTAAATATTCTATTTAAAAATATGTATTGTGCTTCCATATATGACTGAAAGATTGGCTTCACAGGCCACAGTTACTGGAAAAGCTAATGAGCAAGAATTATATATAATATATAAAATATATATTTTAAATAGAATTTTAAAAAGTTAGTGTTCATCCAAAACAATGGCATTGAATTTTCCCTAAACAGCATTGAACACGTCTTTCAATGTAACTTGATAAATGCTTTGTTTTCTGCTAAATATAAGATGTAACACTATTATAACAGTTCTGTCTGCATTTTGTCTTATTGAACAGACCTCACTAATGATCTTGCGAAATCATGACAACCAACCTGAAAGTATCGGCACCGGCACCGGAAGTGAGTATGACTATAATCCTATACTAATTCAAAAAATATGATTAATGGTAATTAATAATATCATATACAGATCCTTCTAAAAAAAATAGCATTTTCTGATAGTTCGTTATTTTCTGTAATGTACTGATAAACATTAGACTTTCATACATTTTAGATTCATTGCGCACAACCAAAGTCATTCAAGCCTTTCATTGTTTTTATATTTGAATATAATGGCATAAAAGTAAAGAAAAATCAAAATTCCCTATCTACATTTTTTTGCATATTTTATCCGACCAATAAAAGAGAAGTGTTTTTAATACAAAAAAAGTCAACCTTCAAATAATGATGTTCAGTGACGCACTCAATACTTGGTCAGGAATTCTTTTGCAGAAATGACTGCTTCGGTTCATCCACAGTGTGGTGACTCTCAACTTCCTCTTCACAACATCCCACAGATTCTTTGTGGGGTTCAGGTCAGGAGAGTTGGCAGGTCAATTGAGTACAGTAATCCCACGGTCAGTAAACCATTTACCAGTGGTTTTGGCACTGTGAGCAGGTGCCAGGTCGTGCTGACAAATGAATTCTTCATCTCTATATAGCTTTTCAGCAAATGGAAGCATGAAGTGCTCCAAAATCTCCTGATAGCCAGCTGCATTGACCCTGCCCTTGATAAAACACAGTGGACCACCACCAGCAGCTGACATGACACCCCAGACCATCACTGACTGTGAGTACTTGAAACTGGACTTCAGGCATTTTGGCATTTCCTTCCCCCCAGTCTTCTTCCACACTCTGGCACCTTGATTTCATCCGAAAAAAGTACTTTGGACAATTTCTGGTTGTGGTTTCTGCAGCCCATTTTCTGCACACGCCTGTGCACGATGGCTGTGGATGTTTCTACTCCAGACTCCACTGTCCACTGCTTCCGCAGGTCCCCCAAGGTCTGGAATTGGCCCATCTCCACTATTCTCCTCAAGGTCCAGTCACCTCTTGGGGTTGTGCAGCGTTTTCTGCCACACATTTTCCTTCCCACAGACTTCCCACTGAGGTGCATTGATACAGCACTCTGGGAACAGCCTATTTGCTCAGAAATGTCTTTCTGTGTCTTACCCTCTTGCTTGAGGGTGTCAATGATGACAACAGTCAGGTCGGCAGTCTTACCCATGTTTGCGGTTTTGAGTAATAAACCAGGCCGGGAGTTTTTAAAAGCCTCAGGAGTCTTCTGCAAGTGTTTAGAGTTAATTCGTTGGTTCAGATGATTAGGTTAATAGCTCGTCTGGAGTACCTTTTCATGATATGGTAATTTCCTGAGATAGGGGTTTTTGGTTTTTCTTTTTGCCAAATTCATCAATATTAAAACAATAAAGGCTTGAACTTCTTCAGTTGTGTGTAATGAATCTAAAATATATGAAAGTCAAATGTTTATCAGTAAATAATGAACTTTATTACAATATGCAAATTTTTTGAGGACCTGAAATTATACTAATCATAATTCAATACAATATGTTCTGTCTTAGGCAGGATTTTAATACATTATTGTATTTAAACCACATTCATTAAATCATGAAAATAAAAATAGTTAGAGTTACTTGTACAAAATAAACATTTGAATTCAATGCATGTCCATATTTATGTAAATATTCCATAACTGATTAATATCCTTTAGTTTTCTTCAGATTCTCTCATTCTCTCTAATTTCAGGTTATTTCCTCAGATCTTGCCTCAACACCACCACGGTTACAGGTAAATACTGGTATTACCTCACTTTATTTTTGTATTCATTGGAAAAATTCAATCTATATCCATGCAGTGCGTTGGGATATATGTCCTTCTGAAGAATCAGTAGCGCAGATTTGTACTGGAGTGTAATTTTATTTTAGAAATAATTTTCACGCAACTCAAAAGAGAATTTATTTTTGGGACCAGATTTAGACCAATCACAGCGGACCACTGGCCCCACCTTCTTGAGAAAAGCTACCGGTCTCTCGTTGGCACGCACAGATAGCTGAGGTAGACGAGCATCATGGCTGAGGCAAACTTGAAACTTCCTTCCCATGTCTTAGTTACTGTTTACTGCTTATACAGCAAAAGAAAGTACCTACAAGAACGCAGAAGGGCACAGAGTTTGAAGGACCGGGAGAGAGGCACCCGGGAAGCGGACGAGACTACTGGGGCATGCAATCAAATGAGGAACAAAAAATACTTGCGACATTTCCATTTGTTTTTGGGCCAAAACAAGAGACGTATCCACATATTATTATAGCTCCATTATCCAGCTCCATAAACAATAGCAAACAAGCACACGCATGAGTGGGAGGGGGTAGTGGGGGGGCAATAGCTTGGTGAGTGAGGGGGGAGGGGAGCAGAAAGAGCGAGGGCAGCGCTTACATTTGAAACTGTGGCTTCAAAGTCAAAAAGGGAGTTAGTCCAGCTTTAGTCCTTAGGGCAAAAGGCAAAACAGGTCAAACTGTTAAACCGCACACGCTCTCATAACGTGCCATTGTTGTTCTGGTTGGACACCATAATACATCTAAAGAAGGACTAAATGTAAATTGTACATATTTAGCTGGAGTAAACTGTGCTTAGGAATGTCAAGTTCAGTGTTATGCTTTTTTCTTGTTAGAAAAACACCATTGACTTTGGGTGACACTTGTTGGTCGGGTTAACTTTAAATGGTCCATCTCTGGTTCACTTGGGGCAAACATGCCACTACCCACTTTAGTCCGTGTCAGTGAACATTGATGTTCACTCATGTTCTTTAATATACTTTATGTAACTTGTTATCATTGCTATTCCAAGTTCATTCTAAGTGTTTGAATATGGTATAATTTATATTTATTTGAGCAGAATACACTGAAACGGATTGGTTTGTTGAAGAAAAATGTGAATAATTGTTAATAATTGTACAATTATATTGTGACCTGAATATTCACGATTGTTGATTAATCCTAATCTCACTGTATATATGGTTGTGACTATCTTACAAATGTGCCCTTTCTCTCTGAGTAACCCTTTTTAATGCACTGGAAGTTTCACCCTGACCTCTTTTCCTCTTTCCCTTTCCATTCTTATCTGACACATGCATCTTTAACTGCCACAGATTGTAAGTGACCAGCAGCCGGGTCAGAAGATCCAGATAGTGACAGCCATGAACTCCTCTGCTCCCAAACAGCAGTACATTCTCACCACTGCCGACAGCTCCGGAGCAGGCAAGGTGATCCTAGCCTCACCCGATGCCCACAACACCAAGCAACTCATCTTCACTGCAGCTGACAACCTCATGCCAGGACGAATACAGGTACTTTGTTCTGTTTATTACACACTTACTGTCCATGCTAGGGATGGAATATCTCTCGCTACAAGGTCTCGTAAGATTGTGGAGTATTTTGAGATTTATTTTTTGTGTTTACATTCTTCCTGTACCAAAGAAAGGTTAAAATCATTGGCAGAGCAACTGTTGTCCCCAAAAGTGGTGCTACAATGGCTAAAACGATAAGATGGGTAAATAATAATGGGGTTGAACTTGTGATGCACGTTGATTACAACAATAAAAACACAGACTTTGAATAGATATGTAGAATGTCTTACCAGGAATTAACAGGGAGGGGAACACAAAGAATAAGTGCCTCACAGTCCATATCTATTGTCATCTGCCTTTGTCCAATATGATTTATGGAAAAGGGTCACAATTATGTTGGCACTCAAAGCACTTAACATCAAGAAACTCGCCCACTCAATCGCTGTCTAGCTTGACACAACAACAATGGAAGCTGGTTTCAGTTCATCTGACCAATCAACCAATGATGTTTTTGTCAGAATAAGCTGGACTATGACTGTCTTCCATGTGCACTGACTGGAGCAGTGGCTCATCTTACTTGCATGACAGTTTTAACAGGCTAATTAACCCCAGTTGATTGAGTGAGTGTTTACTTATTTCGAGTTCAATGTACATCAAACATTAATTATCAGACCTCACTACATAGAACCTTCTAGCAAATCATCCATTTCAAACAGCGACCCCAGCGAATCCCCACGCAGCAGGTACCAGAGCAGCAATACACCAGAGCAGCAACACACCAAATCCCAGAGCCACAATTGCACACACCCTACCCCACCGGTAAAGGCCATTTTCAGCTATTTTCATTCAACCACTATTTCTATAATATTTTCACTTGGTCACATTGATAGTGTTTGTGTTTATATTCAAGCTAATTACATTTATACAATTAGTTATTTTGTTCTCATGTGTGGTTTTTAGATTGTGACAGATCCTATGTCTATGGAGCGATTGCTCGGCCAGTCGGGTGATTTAAGTCGAGCCCAGCCGGTGGAATATTGTGTAGTGTGTGGAGATAAAGCATCAGGTACATTACAGGAGTTAGACTTATGTGTTTACAGGTATTTGGATGACACTTGCTTTGTGAATGTTGATACCAGGTCGTCACTATGGAGCGGTGAGCTGTGAGGGCTGTAAGGGCTTTTTCAAACGCAGCGTCAGAAAGAACTTGAGCTACAGCTGCCGCAGTAAAGAGGACTGTGTCGTGAACAAGCACCATCGCAACCGCTGTCAGTTTTGCCGGCTGAGAAAATGCCTGAAGATGGGGATGAAGACTGAGTGTATGTTAAAAGAATATGAGTGAAGTATTCTCTTTGTTTGTTTTTTATTTGTTAATTTATCTCAATAGATGTCCGTTACAATCTTACAGCTGTCCAGAGTGAAAGAAAACCCATTGAATTCTTACCCAGAGAAAAGCACGCCAATTGCGCAGCCTCAACCCAGAAAATCTACATTAGAAAGGATATGAATAGTCCGCTCATTGCTACACCAACATTTATATCCGACACAGAGACTGACGGCTCCAGGTCTGTGGGATCCTTTTTTTCTTTTTTTACTTTATTGACAAGGCAAAAGGATTGACATTCATGATTTTGTTACAGATCCAGTTTGATTGAACAGGGTATGCTGGTGAACATTCAGCAGCCGGTGATACATGCTGATGGCACGCTGCTACTCGCCACAGACCCCAAGGTTTGCATCAGATTGTACTTATTTTCTGTAAATTGTTGGCACGGATTGCACTTAAAATCCTGACACTCCTTTAGAAAGACCTCCACAGTCTGGATCCGATGCCACTGAAGACTCACTTGCTTTGGCTTTCTTTTCCGTAGATGCGTTTATATCTTTTAAACATATTTTTAAACACATTGAGTTGCAGTTCATGTAAAAAAATCTATTTTGTTTCCCCCATAATTATAATAGCAGTCGTCTCAAAGGGAGTCATGTAATTGTTGATTGCCAACAATTATTCACTTGGAATCAAATCAAGCAGATCAGAAAATCAATCAATAAAACAAATAAAATAGTCATTGGTCCATAAATACTAATGTTAATAAATCTCCCCTGTCCTGACTAACCTTTCATTGTGGTTGCAGGATTTCATTACAAGTAGGTGCCGACCAGACTCCACCCATTACCGAGTTCGGTCTTAACCTGAAGACTTGAGGAAATGGGTAGAGTCTGGTGTGCAGCTTGGTCGGAACCAAACCAGCCGTTTCTGAAAGCAATTTGACATTGCTGCCTTTAACCCTTCTTCATCTGAGGTGTATTCAATGTGCTGTATAATATTGTTTTTTTTAAATCCTCAGTTGGAGTCGAGACAAGGCGACCTGGGGACTTTGGCCAATGTGGTCACTTCATTGGCAAACCTTAGTGATTCGCTGAGAGAAAATCTAAACAATGGAGACACTTCTGACAGCCAAAGTGAAGAGCAGTCTGCTACTGAAATTACACGGTTAGTATCGAAAGACCATATTAAACTTAATCATTCTTAATTTATAAAAGTGGCTCTTTACAGTGCCTTTGATACCCTGGCCAAAGTTTTGCATCCAAACAATGCAGAAGTTGGACATACTGTGGAAGGCAAACTCACCAGTGGAACTATACAATTGATCGGACGAGACGAGGGGACTCCTATCATTGAGGTGGAAGGACCTCTGCTCACCGACAACCATGTCGGCTTTAAGGTGAATGCTAAATATTTCTAAAAATTATTCCATGCTACAAGGGATGGGACGATCACCTGAAATAAAGATGCAATAAATGAAAATGCCACAACAGAAGACATTACAAGTAGCAAAAGGACTTCTTTGTATAGCATGATAAAACAGATATACTTGCATGCTGGGCTGTTTTGTCATATTCATAGCATTATAATCATCAATTGTCACGTAACCCTGAAAAATCAGCTCCGACTGGTGCTATGAGTTACAATCTGGAGCCAAACCTGAGGGTAGTATCAACTTGGCAACCAAAGAGCCAATCAGGAGAGATGCTGATTTTGCAGCCCGATTGTCCCATATTGGTCAGTTGTTACCATGGAATTTTAAAACTATAAACTCAAGGATTATAGAGAGTAGTGAACCACAGAGTGAGAGGGGTTTCCATTCTTAACCCTTTAAGCGCCAAAGTCACAATATTGCGACAAGCAACATTGCTCACTTAAATAGGCTGTATGTAAAAATGTGGAGCAGAATCTTGTTAATACTTTTTACCAGGGGTTAGTGGAAATGTGTGCCAGTAATATGAGCAGCATTTGTGGGTGTGGTTATATTGAAAGTTTTTGAGTAAATTGAGTTCGTAAAACACCTGCGGCGCAGCGGCGCGGAGGCGAAGCAGCAGCGGTAGAGCTGAGAGGAGCGAGAGCAGAGCAGAGGGAGAGAGGGTTTTTTATTTTACTCACGAGGTCTTCAGTACCAGAGAAGTACTTGGTCTGGTACTGGCTCACTCAGATTCAGAGGAGGAAGACACGCAGGTCTCCAGTGAAGCAGACACGGACATTATTGGTGACGGGGAGACCGCGCCATATAGTCCACAATCAGCCCCTGTACAGCGGCTGCTTGTCCTCCGTGTGGCCGCGGTAGAAGCATTCTGTGAACGCCAAGCAGGGGCCGTGGTCGAGGGGACAGGGGGATCATAACACCGGGCATGTGGAAGAAAGTAGCGGGGGTAGACATCCACGGGGAGCACGGGAGACGCGGGAGAAGTCGCGGGGGAGCCGCGGGAAAAAAAACACATTGCTAATCACGTTCACTGCCTTTACCAACAGCGATGATGAGGATGAAGGGAGTTCTTGAGAGAAAATAATCCACAAATGTGGATCAGAAGTGTTGAAGAGCCTGTTGTTTCTTGTTGAGACGATCTGACAAGTTCTGAGTGCATTCATTTCATCTCTCTGTTTCTAAACGGTAAATCCTGGAGCCTCATTTCCACTGAGAAAAATAGTAAGCCCACCACTTCTTTGAAAGGGAAATATTGAAACCAATCTCCAGATTTCATGACTGTAAACTATAAAGAGTGCTGTCTTGATCACTGAAGGTCTTTGAAAATAATACAATTCCATATGGCCGCGAACCAGTGCTAAAACATTATCTATAATCTGGATCAGGGAATTTATTTCTATCACAAATTCATTTCATACTAAAGATATTTCACATTGACTGTTTATAGTATTCCCTGATCTCAAATAACTCCCAAGCTACAGCTTTTTGAAGTCTTTATACAATAATTAACATTTTCCAAAATGGCCGCCACCTTGATGACGTCACAATATGCAAATTAGACGACGAATCAACTTCCATCCCAAAGTTTGGTTCAAACTGAAGATATTTCAAATTTACAGTATGCCTTTATCTCAAACCATTTTAAAGTTATAGCCTTTTGAAATCTTGAAATCAAAATTGTATATTTTCTTGAAAAAACTCTGGCGCCTAAAGGGTTAAATACAGTAAAGGGTTGACATTTCTGTCCCATCCCTATTTGTTACATATAAAATTGTTAACTATTATGTGTTTAAAATATATTTGTAGCTGACAATGCCCAGTCCGATGCCTGAATATCTGAATGTACATTACATCTGCGAATCAGCATCCAGGCTCCTCTTCCTTTCAATGCACTGGGCTCGCTCAATCCCAGCGTTTTCATCTCTAGGGTAGGACCTACACCTGTTCTCTTTGTGTTAGATGCTTCTTTTCATAACTGTACTTTGTCTTGTATTGAACAGTCAAGAGGCCAACACCAGTTTAGTCCGAGCTTGCTGGAATGAGCTGTTCACCCTGGGTTTGGCTCAGTGTGCTCACATCATGAACTTGTCCTCGATCCTGTCGGCCATCATCACCCACCTCCAGGATGGTACGGACCACAGACCCCATCATTTCACCGTAGGACGCCAAAGAAACAGAAAACCATACAAACCACTATACTGCGTTTGTGTTGAGGATTTTTCACTGTGTGTTTGCAGACAAGCTCTCTGCAGAAAGAGTGAAGCAGGTGATGGAGCACATCTGGAAGTTTCAGGAGTTCTGTAACAGCATGACGAGGATCGACACCGACAGCTATGAATATGCTTATTTGAAGGCCATCGTGCTTTTTAGCCCCGGTGAGTCTGAAGAAACTATGACTTTTCTTTATCTGGTTCAAATTTCTGCACGGTTGAAAGAGACCAGGTTTTACAATTTGTATTAGTAGATGCTTTAAGGCTGAGGGAACATACAACACAAGTCAATATTAAGTACAAAACAACTCTATTGAAATAAAAAATAGATTGTTTTTTAGTACAAAGTACAAAGATGCAAACCATATTATAAGTACAGTATACTCAACTGCAAAAAACTACCTCATTAGCTCTGAGGGCTCAAATGTTGACAGTAATGATACTACTGTAATGTTAACTCTAATAAGGGTGATTTCAGTGAAAACTTTCTTCCCTATCACTTTCTTATGCCTTGTTTACTGTGGTTTAGATCACCCAGGTGTGGATGGCGGTGGACAGATTGAGAAATACCAGGAAAAAGCCTTGATGGAGCTGCAGGATTATGTGCAGAAGACTTACCCGGAGGACACATACCGGTACTATACCAATAATAAACTAAGAACACATGTTACCACATCAAAAACAAACCTGAAGTTTTTTAGCCTCATCTATATCTTGCCGCTTCTTCAAATCAGGAGCAAAGCCCTTTGTTCGGCCTTTTGATGCAAAAGTATTGCCTTCAAATTGAAGTTTTTTAACAAAGTCTAATTGTTGCTCTTTACAATTACATTGCGCCATGTTTGATCACTTAAAGAGCAGAATGTAATCTAGATTAGCTAGGTGCCTCCATGTTGCTTAAGGTAATAATAATGAATAATAATACATCTTTATCTTTATAGCACTTTTCAAACCCAATGTTTACAAAGTACTGCACAGTCAGCATAATAAACAATAAAAACATGATAATACAAAGTCAAAATAACAAGATAGAATAGTAGATACAGGAAGACAAAGCCGACAGAGGAAGAAAGACAAAACAAAGACCAGGTGGAACAGTAAAATACAAATACAAAATATAAATGTGAAGTTTAAAACTAACAGTTAAAAGTTGTTTGATAAAAGTGGGTTTGGTGCTAGCCTTATCTCCTCTGGAAAGTCGTTCCAAAGCTGAGGAGCAATCACAGAGAAGGCTTGGTCACCTTTCGTCCGGAGCCTCGGGCCATTGAACGGTTAACAGGGACCTGCTCGAGGATCAGGCTGCGGGGGGGCTTGTAGGGGGTTAAAAGATCATAAATATAGCTTGGTGCCAGACCTAAATGAGCTTTAAAGTGGACATATCGTGTTTTCAAATAATTGATTTTTACATCTAAATCATTCATTTGTGGCCTATAGAAAGCGTAACTGCAATGCCTGGGTCTGAGTCTCATTATTTGTAGCTCCACGGGCCTTTCTTTTACACCTGTTCTGAGGTGCGTCTGAGAGCAACCTGTTTTGGTGCTGTCTCTTTAAATGCAAATGAGGCGCTTTTGACCACGCCCCCATCCAGGTGACACAGGTTCAACTCCACCCCGAGCGGCCATTTTTGTAGTTTCTAAGCACAGATACAATTATCTCATAGAAACTTCTCATTACATCGCAAACATGAAGCAGGCCTTCCTCATTGACTGAAAGCAAATGTACATTTTCATTCTTAGTCCAGTCTTATTATCGACTCTTCTCGTTTTAGCTTTGGGATCCATGTGCACAGTCTATGATGCTCACACGCCGGTTTGACAGACACGTTGACAGAACATTTATAATTGAATATTACTTATGCACAATTTTACAGCATTTAAGAACGTTTTTCCTACTACAGAAGGAAAAAGACGCATGCGCCTCCTGAGCTGCAGGTTGCCGACTCCTGGTTTATACAATATGTGGAAGCAAATACTGTAGAGGATCAGGATATGTGCAGTTTCAACAATAAAAATAAAATAAAATGCAATAGTCTACATTACAAGAGAGTAATAAACATGTCTCAGAGTGAAGGAGGTGGACACAGACAACACTATTGTTTGTTACAGGGATGAGAATTGGTCAAAAAAGACTGAAATGCATATTGTCAGCCATTTGCTGGCTCTAAATCTGTTTAATTTGTTCACAACATATTACTTTTGGGCTCAAACATGAACTTTTAATGCAATGCAAAATGTAGGTATCAGAGCTTTATTTAGGGCGTTTAATCGCGCTTCGAGAGGAGAGGGGAGACGCGGACTGTTTCCTGCAGCAGTGTATTTATTGTGCACAGATTACTCAAAGACACGCATGGTGCTGTGCGCGTTTATGGGGTTGGGTACATGGCCACGTTGAGGCTGCGCGCTCAGCCACAACACGGTGGAGCGGCTGCGAGCGGCTGGACGCTCACAGCCTCTCGCAGCCGCTGGACGCGGAAGCTGCTCATTACAAAGCGGCCGCAGATGCCCCAGAACACTGCGGCCGCTGAGGTGGCGGAATCCCGTTTGAGTACATACTGCAGGTGCCCCGCGGATACGCGCGCCCCGCTCGAACCATTTTCAACGGATTTACACTTCTCATAAACATGTGTTTTGTATGAGGCAGACAGACCGGCCCAAATATGGGCATCGGCCCTTTGGGCATTGCCCGGTACGCCCGATGGCCAGTCCAGCCCTGTTCGCTGGCATCCTTGAGCTTGGACTACAAATTAAGTGATGCACAGTAGAGGAGGGCTGGGCCGAAGTGTTTTGTTAGACGCCCATGCCCTTATATAGCAGTCTCGCTGCAAACACTGTGACGTAATAATTCTAAACACGTAATAGAGAATGGCAAAATCAGAACGGGTTGAAATATCTTACCGAAACAGAATATGAAGTGTTCTCTGCAACCCATGAAGAGACTGATTTCAACTTTTTTGCACTTCTAGAGGCTCCAACTACACAACATAAGGCATTTAAGGCACAAAAAGTGGATTTTTCATGATATGTCCCCTTTAAAAGTAATCAGTAAAATCTATAACGCACAGGGAACCAGTGGAGGGACGCTAAAACAGGGGAGATGCGCTCCCCTCTGTTAAATCCAGATGGGAGCACATGGTTTATATGTTGTATATATTTTCATTTAAGAAATATATATATATATATATATATATATATATTTTATATATTTGTATTATTTGACATTCTAATCCATGAAAGCCAAAATAATGTTCAGAGATAATGCATGATAACTGTTTATGTGAGATTTGTGATTAGGTTTTGTTTTCAGGCTGACCCGCATCTTGACGCGCCTCCCCGCTCTGCGCCTCATGAATCCGAGCATCACAGAAGAATTGTTCTTCACTGGATTAATCGGGAACGTTTCCATCGACAGTATCATTCCATACATCCTGAAGATGGAGACCGCAGAATACAACAGCCAGGGCTCCGACCCCATAGACTAAGCAAAGCACTTTATTTCAGGTATTTCTCAATTGTAAAACTGTTTATTGTGGACTTCACAGCCGTTTCCGGAACATGTTTTAGCTGTGGAAGAAAAAGACTTATAATGTTATCTGGAATGTTTATTGTATTAGATTCAACAGTAAATTACTAAAAACCAACGTGTAACACGTTAGTGTCTATTAATGGTACTTAAAGTGCTTCATGGTGGGCGAGTGCTCTTGTTCTTCAGCCAGAAGGTCCTGGGTTCAACTGCCGGAGCAGTATCGAGCCTGTCTGAGAGGTTTCCTCCAGGTGCTCCGGTTTCTTCTGCACATATACAAACACATGAACAATCGGCTCCTCTCTACTGGAGCCAAGATTCCCCAGGAAAAAAATCTGAAATCTCAGTGGAATCAATAAGTCAATTAAATAAAAACCCATGAAACAAATATCAATATGAAGTCACAACTGTATTTATCTATTTATTGATAAAATTGTGCTTTTTCATGAAACCTGACTGCCTTATAGTTTAGAGACTAATTACCATGACTGACCTCGCTGATGAAACGTTCATTCCCGTTTAGATTAACTCTCATTTGGTTTTCAGGCGGTTTCAGTAAAAAAACAAGTGGGATATTTATATTTTGATGTGCAATCACCTGATCACTTTTCTCCAAAAGACAATCACTTGTTTTCTTTTGTGGCTTCATTAATGCATTTTATGTCAATTTGTATCTTTTTGTACTGAATGTAATATTGCAACATATTATTTTATTTGTATGGTTTCAGAATCTTAAAGATTTAGATATGGACCATGTAGCGAGGCTACAGTTTTGTATAAAGCTTTTTGTATTTGCTAAGTGCACATTAATCTAAGATGGCATTTTTGCTGACGTTTGTTTTTATTATGGACTTTGTTCATTTCATGTAAAGTGTTCTTAAAGCGGATGAAGCAAAGTTAAACTGAGAGATTTTTAGCGGGTTTTAAACTCTATTAGACAAATGTGTTCTAAACTAATTTAAAGGCACTTGTGTGAGGTCGACATGTGATTCATCAAATGAGTGCATGTCTAATGTTGGATAATGTCTGTTCTTTCAAAATACATCGCTCTGCATGACTATTACACTTCATTAAATGCCATTAAACGCTGTATAAATTGTTTTATTGTTGTGGTTTCAAAATGAAAAAAATGAAACATGTCTGTCATGTAAACATACAAAAGCTAGCAGGAATCGTCTGATCCATTTTCTACCTCATATTCAATAAAATAACAAATCTACTTTGGATTGTATGGATTACTCTCTTAAAGGTTTTCAGCCTGAGCAAGGTTTTCCTGAAACGTAAATAAATTGAAGACAAATAAAAAGTCAATGATAATTTTTTTATTGAATACCTCTCACAAATGACTTTGGTGTTGAAAGCTTCACATTGAATGTGGGAACGTAGTGAAGACAATTATAAAATTACGTTTGGTAAAGTTGCAAGATGATCAGATGTTTGTTCAGAATCTAGGCAAAATTCAACGATGGTGTGGTATTTTTTACAGTCTATGGGTAAGACCAGGCTAACGTTTTAGAGAACTCTAATATATATTGAATTAATTGATAAAACAAGCAAAATGGAGTATTTTAGCATTTTTTGATTCCAAGTATTGAAGATGTAAAGATTATGGTGGGTTTCCTTTTTTTTTTTTAAACACCAAAACATTCTCATTGGTTGAAAACAGAATGTTGCAAATACGTCACAATTCCGCGACACACATGCAGGAGTTCATCAGATGCTTTTCGTAGATACACAGACAGAAGAGGCTTCAAAATGCCTATGAAAGGAAGATTCCCGATCAGGAGGACACTGGAATATCTCCAAAAAGGCGACATTATTTTTAAAAACAGGGTGAAGGTTATGACTGTCAACTACAACACGACTGGAGAGCTGAGCGACGGGGCAAGGTCAGGATGTTACTGTGTAGACTCCACTGTACACACGGGTTTTTAACATAATGAACTATTGTGTCCTGCAGGAACTTTGTGTTTTTCAAGATCCCTCAAATTCAGTATCAAAACCAAAGAGTCCAAATAATGATGTTTAAAAATATGACGCCGTCTCCCTTTCTGAAGTTCTATCTCGGTGAGTGCTGCATATATAGCATGGATCTATTGGTTTATAAACCGAACTGTAAACTCTATGGTGTTTACTATTATTACTCTTTTTCTCAAACTGTTTTGTTCTCTAATCTGTTGGCGAATTTGCTGTTTTGTAATCTCCTCCATGCACCCGAGACGACTTCTGTTATCTAAATGTTGAATGTTGCTATGAATGTGTTTTCGTCCTCAGATGATGGTGAGCAGGTCCTTGTGGATGTGGAAGGGAAGAACTACAAAGACATTTCCCTGCACGTCAAGAAGATCCTAGGAAAATCCGAGTATGTTCATCCCATACATCATGAGTCTGGTGTGTGTGTAAATGGTTGGTGGTGGTCGGAGGGTTAGGGTTAGCACATGGCACATACTGGTTGCCTCGCTTCTGTCAGTGTAACCCAGGGCAGCTGTGGCTACAGTAGTAATCACCACTGTGTATGGAGTGAATGAATAAGGACATGTAAAGCGTCTTTGAGTGTCCAGAAAGGCGATATACAAAACCGTTGCATTATTATTATTATTATATGTTCAATGCTTAGTGTTAGTGCATTATAAATGCACAGGGATTTAGTTTAATGTCCGACCCGACCCAGAAATGGATTAATTGGAAGATAATGAAAATGGATGTCATTATCATCATTATCATCAATATCATTATTGTCATTTTTCTCTCAGGGATACGTTACAGGCTGAGGCAGAGGTGAAGGCTTCAAATCCTGCTAATTTTGGTCCAAAAAAGTACTGTCTTCGGGAGTGTATCTGTGAAGTGGAGGGACAGGTGCCGTGTCCTGGAACAAAACCTTTGCCCAAAGAGATGACTGGAAAGTACAGAGCGAAGATGGCCGCACAGCAGGAGTAGAAGATACTATTTAGGTTTTGGACTGAAATAATGATTTTACAGAAGTGAAAACATCACAATTTGAGATGTTATTAAAGATACATAATGCTACTTTTCTGGAGGGTGCTCCTATCTACTTTTCACCATGGATATCTTACTGGTATGTATCTCAATATGATAAAAGACTTTTAAACTGTCATGGAACGCTAAACCTAAATGTACAGGCTGCATTCACACGTGTTGGTCTGGTTCTATTAATTGTACAAAGTCCGGGGGAAAATACTTCACAGATTGTTATTAAAAGATATAAACGACTAGTGGACATGTGTTCTGTGGGGGCAGAGTGGGTAGCACTTCTCATTGAGAAGGTTCTGGGTTCAAATCCTGTTCAGAACCGGATCTTTGGGTGGAGTATGCATTTTCTCCATGTCTGTTTGGTTTCCCCCCAACACTAAAAACGTGTACAAATTGCTTATTGATAATAAAGCATTTTTCCAAGTGAACCAGAAATAAGTGTGGTTCACTTCAGCTGGACTAAGTGTGAATGTGCCGTGACATTGGGTTGACTCTCCTGTTCACAAGTATGACATGTACCCTACTGAAATCACTTGCCCTGATTCCAATGTAGAAGAGCGATTTCATGGCATAGGGTGGAATATTATTTGCAACCCATAACCAGAAATGTTTAACAACCATGATATTTTCTGGATTTAAAGTGTGTGGTCCCTTTTAGATCCAGGTTTAAATATACTTCTGCATAATTTAAGTTCCTTGCAATATATATTTCATTTGTTGGGTCGATGGAAGTGTTGTATTATGGTATAATTCTTACATTCAAATAATATACAATATTTCAAAGCGGAATCCATCATTATCTTTATACATTAAAACCACATACTAGTTTCCACATTTTTATTAATGAGATGAACAGCGGTTTAATAAATGTTTTATAAAAAACAAAAAATAGTGGTGTTTTCATTGTAAATGTTAGTTTGAATCTAATGTCAATGAGTGTTCAAGTGTGTATTTACAGGAGGCCTATATTAGCAGCATGGTGAATAATGTAATAGCAGGTTTTATCTTGTGCTATCCTTTGGTCAAATTGACACGCCAGTGATAAAAGAATACCCTAAATAATTTTTCACATTTTTATATATATATATACGTACATGTAAAACATATTTGTATTATAAATTTCATTTTGATGACTCATAGCTTGACCAGCACCGGGTCATTTAGACCCTTTTAGACCATTATATAGGTTGTTATTCTTTCTACTTATAATCATCTGTGGCGGGTCAATTTGACACAAAGGCAACACAAAATGTAATTGGAAAGTTATTTCCTCGTCCTTGTACTAGAGTGAGCTCAGCCAAGTAGTGTATTAGTGTGTTGCTGGTTTTTGTGTTAAAACAACAAATCACAAATTAGTAAAAAATAGACCATTAAAGTGATACATGACAAAACTGGGACTTTTATCCTCTTCATATGACACAGCGCTGGAGGAACATTCAACTGCGGTGTATTCATTTCTTACCAAATCAGGAGAAATATTAATTCATCGCATTTTTATGAAAGACCAAAATAATCATTGCGTTCTTTTAGCTAAAGACACTTTGTAAGTATTGTCACAATACTATCATTTCATGTCAACTTTGATCTATAGACTCAGTTATTCTGATCAATGGGATCAGAGAACTTTTTCAGCTTATGTTACAAAACAGAATGCTTAAACAGGTGAATAAGAATATTATTTTGTATCGTATAAAGTTTTTGGGGTTTTTTCATAAATGTGAAACCAATAAACAGTATGAACTCCTGGACTTTTGAACAACATTCTAATTTACAGAATTCACCAGTTGGTCAATTAAGTATTTTACTTAAATACTATTGATCCCAAATTAAGATAAATTTTTAAAAAGCTTTTTTTTTTACAGAAAGAAGCCACACATTTTACACCAATTCTGATCTCAAATCCTCCTGAAACTGCTCCTGTCCTGTTTGTGGAATATCATTTTAGTGTCTTTCTCCAATGTAGTTTTGATACCTAGGGTGGTTAGTATTATTCAATGACATGATGCATGTGTAAATTATCTTCAGTGACCCTGTAATTTAAACAATAGTGCCATTTTAACATTCTATTTCAAAATATTAACACCCCTTCCTGCTTTTGTGATTTACATAAATGACTTTACAGAAACCTTTTTTTCTCAATTCTAACAATCTAAAATGTGCAAAAATGCAGAAATACTCAATTTTCCAAGACGTTATGTTGTTGTACGTTTTGCTCTCAGTGTCATGCATTTAATATAACTGTTTTACTTCATAGCTGTTATCTTCTAGACGTCTTATTTTACATTGATTTGCAGGTTATCAATGTGCAATATCTGTAATTGTGTATTTGCAAGCCTTTGTTCTTGGATTGTGGGAAATGGTTTGATGGACCAGAAATCAATTCACGCTCTAATAAAATGTTCAGCCAGCCGAGCAGCAGGCTCACTTTGCTTTCAAAATACATTTACACTTTCCCTTTGTTCAGTGCTTCTTCTTCTGCTCTTGTAGCGTTTTCTGAAGCTCTCGCAAGTTCTGGGACAAAAGCTCCACTTCATCCAGGCGCCTGTTGAGTTTAGCGTCAAAAATATAGGCTCGGATGTTATCGATTTGCTGCAGTAACAATTCCTCCTCGATCATATCCACATCCGGCAAAACCTCGTTGTCATCTCCCTCAAAAGGGTTTGTCGAAACTTCTGTGGCCTCTGAAAACGGGTTGCTTTCCTCAAATGGATTCCCTCCACTTTGTGCTTCGCCTTCAGCCTCCTCATCTTCATCAAACGGATTGTACTCTTTGGCACCATTAGCGCTGGCCACGTTCGCCACCACCTCATAATCTTTCTGAATATCCTCAAAAAACGGGTTGTCTTCCTCTATGGGAGTAGAGTCCTCTTCGTCAAAAGGGTTTAGAGAGATGCTGCTCTGTCCTTCGCCACTAGGGGGCGTCACATGTCCACCCAAGCTTCTCAACCGTGGGGGAGACTCTTCTTGATTCACTGGAGCAACCCGGAGTGAGTTTGGGCTTCTGTCTGCTCTCGGGGCTTGCTCCTCTGTTGCTGCTGTATTCTCATCTTTGCTAGCTTCAGGTGCAATATCTAAAGACTTCTCCCAAGTATAGGGCGACGGAAGAAAACTGATATTAACCGCACGACTCTCTCGCTCCTCCCTTTCCCACTCCTCCAACCGATGCAGCTCCCCCTGTTGCAAAGTCTCTTCTTCAGCCAGCTTTGCAGAGAGTGCGATGGCCAAACTCGTCTGCTGCTGGTCGTATTCATCCTCAAGCTGGCGTAGGTTTTCCTCCAACATGGCCACCTCGTCTGCTCTCTTGGCTTCTCGGGCCTGCCGTAAGAACGACTGGATGTTCTCGATTTGCTGGAGCAGAGGGTCTTCGAGTTCGCTGAGTCCGTCAGAGGAGGGCAACCAGCCGCCGGCCTTGGTCATGCGCGGGACTCTCACTTGTGGTATTTCTCCGTTGGTGCGGCTTTTCTCATCTCGTTCCTGCCTTCGCTTTAGTGCCTCTTGTGCAGCCTGTGGTACAAGGGAAATATACACATAAAACTTAGTGTGTGCAAAGCAGGTATCACATTATGACCAGTTCATTACTCATAAAATGTTAGGGATATTTGGCTTTCCGGTTTTAAGGTTGAATGTAAAATATACTAAAAGCTTCACAGTGAACTTAAAGCTGCGGTAACTAACTTTTTTTTCACAATACACAGTTAAATTCATTTTTTATAACCCTAAATAAAAACAGTAGTAATCTCAGAGGACAAAGTTGTAACACAGATCAGAGAATCAAAAGGTTTGAATGCAGGAAATGCCACCAAAACACATAGGAGCCATTGGTCTATAGGGGGCGTATGACCAAAGTCTCTAAATGTCTTGGATCGACTCCTACAGACGGACTGGCGATAGATCCTGTATTCTATAGCCTGTTCCTTTGTATAGTCCGTTCCAGAGTTCAGTGTTACCAAAAGTTGGGGAAAGTGCTTAGTGGCTGACGTGGTCTTAGCTGATGAACTATAATACAATAAGACTGGATGACTCAAAACAGAAGTTATGCAATATGAGTCGGCCTGTGTGGACATTTCTATTCACTACTTTGTGTTTGATTTGCTTTTTTTGTGTTTGTTTGGGGCTGATAAACAATGGTAGAATGTTTAGAAATGTTGTACCATTCTTTCTTGTTGTAGCCTCTTCTCTTGTTCTTGTGCTCTCTTTTCCTTCAACTCTTCATATTTGTCTTTAGTTGGTAAAGACATAAGCCCCAATAGTTTTTCCTAAAAACACAGAAAATGCATAATACATTGAATGAAACTGAATCTGAATTCGTGATGGACTTGTATTGTTACCTGAACAAATAGTGTGGCGGAATATCGGATCATCTTCTGGAGCTGCAGGTTTTTTGGGCGTGGCGGTGGTTCCGTTTTTAATCCCAGTGTTAAAATCTTTTTACTAACGACAGGAAACGTGTGATATTATCTCAGAAAAGCAAAAATGTATAGTAAAAATGCATAAAAACACAAATCCTTTACCTAAGAGCATCGATAAGTTCATAATATTTCTGGACTTCTAGCCTCAAGCCGCCTGCCGTGTCAAGATTGTATGTAGTTTCCCCAGTGCTGCAAAATCACAACATATTTACAGACCCAACTTTTTATTAGCTCATGAATAATCATTTCTGGGTTTTACTTGAGAGACTCTGCCATTCGGATGTATTCTGGAGCCTTTTCGTCCACCTTGTCCATGCACATCCTGAGCCTCTATAAAAGAAGAGCAGGTTTTAATGAATGGGCTGTTTACTGTGTTTCTATTAAACTTTCTTTTAATCAATACGGACCTCATATAATTTCACAATGTCGGGTACAAAGTCTTTTTCGTCGAGCTTCTGCTGCCGTTTCAACAGTGTGTCCGTACAGTGGTGGCAGCAGCGGATCTTCTCGTCGTCCTTCTCCTCCAACATGGAAGTGACGCTGCTCAGGCTCGTGAGGCTGCCCCTTCGAGAGCCCATGCCCCCGCCGCTGCCCTCTGCTGGCGGAGTTTGGGACTGACTGAGCATTCCTTGGATGCACAGGGCTTCCCTAGTTGAAGTTATGATTTTTTCTGCAAACAGAATAAAACATAAAAAATATTGATTTTAATATACAGTGTACGAAACACTTTGCGCTAAATACCCCCCCACACTACAAAATCAGAAATTACATTTTACATTGCCAATAGCACCGTTAACAGTCGACTACACACTCATGTGGCATGAAAACATTGTTTAAACAGAAGATTTTTAGGGAATGCATCATAAATGGAAATACAACCAAAACTCAACTATACTTTTAGAATGAAGCATTATTTTGAAACTAACGATTGATGACTTGAGAGTGCGTTGTACTTTACGAAGGGGTACACCTCCTTCTTGTTGCCATGGGAATGTAATTGCTTTGCTTGAATGTTCAGCCGTGTGTCCTGGAGCTGCTCTAATGAGCCTCCCTACAGTCTACTCTAAGCTGTATCTAACCCTGGTGACGTTACTTGCTTGTCCGCAAAGTGCTTGGATACGTTTAAACATACACTGGAATATTCCACAGAAATTTATATTTTATTTTACATAAATAAGTGCTCCCCTGTACCTCAGGTGGCAAAATATTACATCGCAACAAACATTTTTCTGTTCTGTAATCTCTTAAATACAACTACAAAACAATTTGTATTCTTGTTTAGGGGCAGATGAAAGGGATCATAGATGGGGTAATAAAAATGGCACTCTACTTACGAGCCAAAGGTATAGGAATGAAGTCCATGCATTTTCGGCACATGATAGATCCACACAGGCGACAGTGATGGCGACGATTTCTAATGTTAAACTTGTTTCCACAGTCCGGACAGAAAGGGACATCCGCATCATTTACCCACGAAACCACTGAACGCTCAATGGCTAAAAACACAGAGAAAAACGTATATAATCGATTGCATGGTTGGAGCAGCGACTATACGTCGAGCTCCAACCATGAGCACCCAGCTACTCTGAGGCATATTACAGATTTGGACATTTAAAAACAAACCTCTTATTTTTGCGGTGTCTGCAGTGGTCCTGTCAAATGATGTCAACTGGAGAGAAACACAAAATTATATAATAAAATAAAATAACATATGGTGAGAAATTATAATTCAGATTGAGCAAAAAGTAAAAATAGTCATAACATTTGCTTTTGAAAAATGTATGTTTATAATGATAGTTCTACTAAACTAGTGTGGTCTTTATGGCTCCATAAATATTATGGCTTTATGGCTCCATAAACTACTCTAAACAGAATTGAAATGGCATGTATTGTTAGATTCATCAGGCAAAACTCACCTTTTCCAATCTAATTATAAGCTTATTGACTTCAATCACATAGTGGTCTATTCGTTCAGCCCTGTGCTTCTTAAAAAGTTCTAGGTGACTCCTGGTTGCTCCTGCAGAAAACAAAGTGTTACAATAGTGAGTGGCTTTGGTCAGGCCTTTCTTTATGGTTTTGCTTTTGAAAGAGCGTACCAAGCTCTTGAGGCTCCCACATGTACGGATCCACTCCTCCGTAATAGAAGGATTCATAAGTGCCACTGTCAGGTCTGTCCTCTCCTTCCCTCTTCAACAACTTGTCCTTGGCTTTCTTGGCTTTCTGGACCAAATCTGAGACAGAAATAAACATAAATGTAAATATGCAAAAGCACATGCTTCAAAAAGTCGGACAATTTTGATTTAGAGGACATCAACATCAATCTACTTACTTCACCATGTACACACAAACAAATTGAGATAAACATTAATAAACATTATTGTCAAATGCAGTATAAGAGAAACATTGGGGATTTTAGTGGAAACTGTTCTATCTAGACGGCAAAAAAATCACTCAAATGTATATAAAAACAATCACATACTTTTGAGTTGCCCTCGAACGTGTCGATCGTCTCCAGAGTGCTCCTCTTCATAGTGATCTTGGAGCTGGTAGAAGGACTGTAAATCCTTGAGGCACAGTGGACAAAGGAACCCCTCTTTGACCTCTCCTGGGCCTTCGAATGGCGGAGGATAACCAGAGGCCATTGCTGTTCAGTTAGTGACTGAAGCCTCACTGCACTTTGTCCAGGAACAACTCCATCTCTCCAACACTAAACCTAGGCATACAAATACAATGTATATGTAGGGGTTAATTATTCCCCAATTCCATCCAGAACCAGGAAGTACAATCACATGCTCGGATCTCTGCACTAGCTTCCTGTGGCTCAGAATCTGGAACAGTCATTGGGTTAACTCTCCTCTGACTTGCCTGCGTATCCCCAAATGCAGATAGACATTTTAAAGCCACACTATGGTACATTCTAGACAAAGGGAAACTCATTAAGATGTGCCCCTTCCTTCACAAGGAAAGTTGATTGCACTTTAAATTAATTCTGGTAATTTAGAAATATTGTGATGATCTTGATGATGCAGTGCAACAACTGCAGTATAGATGCATGGAAATACATTCTGGCCATTAACTAAATATTTAATATGGCACAATATAATTGTATGATAAATGGGAAATCTATCTTCAACGTAGCTCTTCCATTTAACTAATATAAACGTTATAGTTTTTGTTTTAAACTGTACATCATCTAAGACATTGCTATTTACACCTATACATCCATATCTATCTATCTCTTATTCCATTTCATGAACGTCTCATAATTATCAGATCATACAACGTTCACATTGCTATGTATTAGCATTATAGAATTCAGTCAAAAAAAGCTGAATCGTTTAGACGACACTGTGATTATTGTCTGACTTATGAACGACGATTATAATGAATGTTCTCAATAATTTTTTCTCACGAACGGACAAAAACTGTTCTTTTATTGGCGCATGCTTTACGAATGAAGTAACATCTTGTTAGTAACTAGTTAAGATAGCTTCTCATTACATGCTGGCTACACCCTGTTAGCCCTAACACCGCTAACTCCTACAACCAATGGTTATTATGGCAGATTAGACAGAATAAACACCTCATCACATAGCGCACATAATCCTGTGGCTACTTACAGGAGCGTGAGTCGTGATCATAGACTGTATATTCATGAGCAGTGCTAGATTTTGATGATTTGTTTTTGATTTTGTCTGACAGATCAACTACCCGTGGTCATGTGATCAGCACCAGGTCTGGACTACAGGGAGAGCGGAGGACCAAACCACGCGAAAGGCGAACAGTGATTACTACTATACATAGTTCCCACATGACGTCACTACATACGGGGATTTGCCGACCCGGCGCCATTTGTGTTGGCATTCTGTGGGCAAAACAATAGAAAAAGAAGCTGAAACGTGTTAATGTCGTGATAAAGTTGAAAATGGTCATCTCCTGCTGGGTCAATGGATGTTCAAATCGTGCCGGAGGTTCCGTTAAACTTGGATTTTACAGTATACCCATCATTAGACTTCATGAATGTGAGAAGACTAAGCTTTTGTCAGAACAACGACGGAGGTTATGGCTTGCGAAGATAAACAGGCAAGAAACTCCCTCAAAACACGCAAGAATATGCTCGGAGCACTTTGTGTCAGGTGCGTATCGTATCTTATAATGTGTTGACACACGTAATTTACTCAGTACTAACTTGTGTATGCTGATATCTGGTAACTTGAGAGTTTCATTATTTAGCGTTAGATTACTTTATTATGAGGAGGATCGGTGTTGCGTCCGAGGCTCTCGAGGGCAACGTAAATGTATTAAATAGATAATAATAGTTCTATGGTGGGCTAAAACAATGTTCACAAACAGCATTGCTTCTGTAAAAAGATCTGTGTCATAAAATAAACTGCTCTTTACGCCTGGAAAAATCAGTTGCCCACCATTCACCAAAACATACGGTCAAAAACGCGGAAATAAACAATAACGGCAATCCAGAGTGTCCGTGTGGCATTAGCATTAATTAAATTAATTGTTAATATAATTAAAATAATTAAATGGAGCTCCAACTGGTATTAAATCTAAAGTTTTGTGGGAACTACATAGTTCCCACAGACCGATGAATGTCACATGACCTCCTCGGAGACGCCATCTTTGATGGCACGCTGCTGTGTTTGTGCATTCCATTAAACAGAAGAATGAGAATAAATGTAGATATTCAAACGCAAATTGGAAAAAAAGGGCAACTTTTGAGCAAATAATTGTATATTAATACAATGGCACCACAGTTTAACGTGCTACGGACATGTTTTACATATTTGATCAAATTATGCAGCAAAAATTAACAAGCAATGCAAACATTTCTCAAAAACTTTAGATTTAATACCAGTTGGAGCTCCATTTAATTATTTTAATTATATTAACAATTAATTTAATTAATGCTAATGCCACACGGACACTCTGGATTGCTGTTATTGTTTATTTCCGCGTTTTTGACCGTATGTTTTGGTGAATGGTGGGCAACTGATTTTTCCAGGCGTAAAGAGCAGTTTATTTTATGACACAGATCTTTTTACAGAAGCAATGCAGTTTGTGAACATTGTTTTAGCCCACCATAGAACTATTATTATCTATTTAATACATTTACGTTGCCCTCGAGAGCCTCGGACGCGACACCGATCCTCCTCATAATAAAGTAATCTAACGCTAAATAATGAAACTCTCAAGTTACCAGATATCAGCATACACAAGTTAGTACTGAGTAAATTACGTCTGTCAACACATTATAAGATACGATACGCACCTGACACAAAGTGCTCCGAGCATATTCTTGCGTGTTTTGAGGGAGTTTCTTGCCTGTTTATCTTCGCAAGCCATAACCTCCGTGGTTGTTCTGACAAAAGCTTAGTCTTCTCACATTCATGAACTCTAATGATGGGTATACTGTAAAATCCAAGTTTAACGGAACCTCCGGCACGATTTGAACATCCATTGACCCAGCAGGAGACGACCATTTTCAACTTTATCACGACATTAACACGTTTCAGCTTCTTTTTCTATTGTTTTGCCCACAGAATGCCAACACAAATGGCGCCGGGTCGGCAAATCCCCGTATGTAGTGACGTCATGTGGGAACTATGTATTTTAATATTTAGAGTCTATGCCACTGAAGTGACTGTCGTTTACAGTTATGCACGGGAGGAAAATTAGTATGTCTATGATTTTAGTAGATTCCATTCTTACCTGAAGACAAAGTACAAATACTGAATCTGTTTCTGAAACTTTTACTATACAGTCTATCTATGCTCATGACATTTTAGTAGTGTCCCGACAATAAAATAGATCCATGGTAATGCCCTGGATCCCTGCCCTAATCTGGATTTGGGTGCCGGTCATATCATGCTTTTGGAGAGACATAAAGCAGTTTAATTTTCCTATGATTTTCTGAAATGTATTTTTAATTATTATTCATATATATTTTTATTCACGCTGAAGACAGAAAGACTTAACAGTTTTTGAGGACAATATACTGCCACATGTACTTTTGCCTGAGCCCTGTAGCTAACTATGCTAGGCTAGCTGCGCTCAGGATGCTAGCAGTAGCAGTCCAGGCTAACGTGAGGCTCTCGTCAAAAGTCAATTACTCAAAGACCATCACTGCCCCAAACACGGTATATTTATCTAGTACATTTAAGTGTTTCTTAGTAAACTGATAGAATAATAGTCTGTTTATTGTATGTTTATTTGCTATTTGTTATTTTTTGCCAACATTGTCTGAATTAACTTGAGTGATGAGTGATGAAGGCTTGTAATTGATTTGCCGCTGGTTTCATGTTTTGTTAAACGTTTAGTAATTGCGTGTTGGTTCAAATTTGAGAATACATTGAGTTCATTTCTTGAGAATAAAGTGCTTTTTAAAAATATGTGTAACATGCCATAGTGGTCCACAATAACCCATTACCATTGATAAATGGTCTCGTGGACCGGATTGGAAAAAATGAATAATGGGAGTTTAGAAATAGTTTCTCCGTTATTGTTATAATTAGCATTTTGCACATTCAATCATTGAACCTCATTATTAATTGTCAAACTGGATCCACACAATTGTTCAGTTTCATCTCACTTTGAACTGAAGGAAATTACCTATTGAAGTTCCAAAACATAGAAGAGTGATGTCACATGTAGAAAACCTCTTTTCACAGCTGTATCCTAGAATAGATCCTGTATGTCATCACAAAATACCACTAGAGGGAGCCCCAATCCTCAAACGAGAGCTGGACTCCAACATAGATCTACCATATCAGCTCCATAAGGTGAGAGGCTTTTCTGACTCTGAACAAATGATATGGACACATTTGTGACTGCTGTTATGACCTATGATGCCTGGACAACATAGTTATAAACCATGAGAACATTTGGAATCTCATTTGGATTGCGTTTAAAATCACAAAAGAACTGTGTGTCACAGACAAAGAAAGTCAAGCCTGAGTTAAGAAGTCTAAAAAAACCTTGATTGTATTTTATTGTGGTAGGAAACCTGAAGAAGATCCCCTGAAAAAAGAGATGGTAGTATTACACTGTACACGTTTGAGACTTTCCGGGGGGTTCACAGGCCGGCTGAGAGATATCCAATGTACATCCCTCCAACGTATCTTGGGGCCTTCTCCCGGAGGGATATGCCCAGTACGTCTCTCCCCAAGGAAGTGTCGGAATCCAAAACAGATGCCCATGCCACCTCAACTGATTTTTATTATTCTTAAAAAGTCAGAGTAATTTTGTGTTTTAATCAACATCTGACTTTTTTATAACAGGGCTAGGGTTAGGGTTTTTTATTACCTTAATAATAAAGAGTGATATTATGATCTTGCTAATTTGTACCAATATATTTTTCCTATTCACTCATGTATAGTCATAAGTAGTGAACTCAGTTTTGCTGCTGGCTCCTGTGGACCCACCACCTGCGGGAGGATCAGTGAGGGACTGGGGCTCTGTGTACTGGGTGCAGCTCTGACTGCTGCCCCCCCCTCCCCCTCCCCCCACCCAGAAATGGATTAAGGGGAAGAAAATGGATGGATTATGATCCTGCTAATTTTTACCAATATATTTTTGAACATATATTGTTCCTATTCACTCATGTAAGTACGGAACTACGTTTTGCTGAACATTTTAATGTTAAAGTTGATGATAATGTTTAGCCCATATGTGTTTAGGGCTTGTAAACGTTGAATTGGTGTTTCAACACACTCCAGAATAAAGTTATTTGGTGTTTAATTCATGAAGTGGACACAAAGACTAAAAAAAGTACAATATTCACCTGCTATGAGTCGAGACAAATCAACTAATCTCTCTCATCTAATGGCATAATAGAAAATAAAGTTCCAATGATTGTATTCTCATTATCTATGCCTACTTTTTACTAAAGTCAACATGTCTATGTTCAAACATAGACCTTATGTTAGAAATCCTGTGTGCGGCTCTGTGATTGTGGACCCACATTGGTATTTTTGTCATCTTCAGTCATGGTGGAAATGGTCATGGTGTCCACTGCAGCTTATCTTTTCTCTTCCTGCTCTGCTCGAAGTTATTCAACACTTTCTATGATTATATAATACTAAATTAATGCTATTCCTCCAATTATGACCATTCATTCTGGATCTTGCTAAATTTGGGGATTGAAAATCAATTAAATGACATCTGATAGTGATCCTTGACTATAATAAAATGCAGATTCTTTTAGATTATGACTTTATTTTCATTGTACAGGTTTTAACTCAAATGAAAAAGCAAAATCCATCAATCCAAATATAAACGACACATTCATTGCTGTTGAAGTCATTGTATTTTACATAATTACAAAACAAATAATCCAACACAAATTATTGTATGGAGGAATTTGTCACAGTTACAGCAGATATTTATAACTGTTTCTTGTATAGGACATTTCCTCATAGAGGGGAAAGAGTCATGGCTCATCCTAAAATAATATGAACAAACTTTTTTGAGCAGAAAAAGAAAAAAAACTTTCCGGAAACATATTTACAAATTAGTCCAAGTATAGTTTTGGATTAGACTACATTGTGCGTCTTACAAATAAACACAAACAATGGTGTTAAGTGATTAAATGCGCCAGTTTCAAAGAAAACACACTAAATGTAACTATTTCTCGTTTTCAATAACTCTCTATGGCTCTCTATTTTCTCATCTATATAGTTTACATTGTTTACTTCACAGCTACATTACTCAATCTACCAAATCTTCATCAGAGACAAATCTTTTCCCCGGATGCTGGCGCTTATCTTCCACATGACTTGTGTTTATGTTGTCTAAAAAGTCGAGCAATAGTCGATTTTGGGGGCTATTACTGCAACCATTGGAGTCCAAAAAGTCACACGGGGGATTGCTTCCTAAAAATGGAGCGGAGTTATCCAAGACGCGTTTCCCTGGATGCTGTCTCTTGTCCATCTCTTCTCCCTCTGAATCCAAGTTGTCTGGATAGAAGCGCTTCCCTGGATGTTGGCGTTTATTATACAGCATTACATAGCGTTTTCCCGGGTGTTGCCTTTTGGAAAGTTCGCTCAAGACCAGTAGCGGGTTGTCGGAGGATAGGAGTTCAGACGCGGCGCGCTTTCCGGGATGTTGCCTCTTTTCCAGGTATGAGTGCATTTCTTCCTCGCGTTTCCCTGGATGCTGTCTTTTATTTAAGTCCAAATATGGTTCATCCTCGTCCGTGTCTTCGTCAATGTACCTTTTCCCCGGGTGCTGTCTCTTCGTCATCCAGCCCGCACCATCTGAGGAAAAAAGCGCGCGTTAGTTCCGTGCGTAAAATGTGCCACGCGTGTCGCGTTGCGCACAGAATTGACATCTCGGGCCACATTTTTTACTTTTCATGTTTTGACACATTATCATATTAAATTATAGCATGCATTTGACAATAATAGTCACTACTGGAAATTAAGTTATGTTGGTTTTGGTTCAGTGAAACAAGTCACATACTTTATGGGAATTATCCATAAAGTACTACTCACCGTATCTCTCGTCTTCTCCTTGTATTTTCTTGAGGATAGACCGTAATAAAAGGCTCTCTGCTTTCTGGAGGATGATGTCATCTATGGTCCGGTGGTCAGGCTCTTCCTCTGTGAGGGTCTGTCCTGCACAACGCGGCAGGTTACACACTGCTAAAGACGCTAATACGAGCAGGTATGTTGATTTCATGATTGGACCCCTGTCTGGAAAAGAAAAAACTGAAATTATTGTAAATATGTTACTCGTGGCATTCATAAAATGTGATAATGCTGAAGAATACAGAAATCTCTGTTACAAAAGAAACTTCGTTGAATAACAAAATATACATTGAAAAGTATATCAAAAGTTGCAATGAACTCACCCTAATCCGTGAGTCCTCCCTCAGTGCGCACAGTTGCTCACGTCTCAAAGCTGTTCTTGATGACCCTTAAAGGGCAGATCTGGAGGTATGAGGGGCTAACTTTTCCTCGCAGTATTTATACACAGGGTCCAATGGCGTCACACACGCCCTCTGTCCATTTCTCCTCGTCTTCATTGATGTCACCAAAGTCGTGCGCAACTGGCGCCTTCCTAAACAATTAGCCTACAGGAGACTTAGTAATCTATAATGTTATAACATATCAATTTAGATTAATCCTCAACTAAATTAACTAACCAAAAAAGAAGATTCACAAAATGTATTCATAAATCATATTGTTTCTTTTTGAAACATAATTCTGAGGTCTCAGGACAATGTGCCTTGTCACGACACAGAAAACCCCCCCAAATATACATAAAGTAGGATTTAAAAATAATAGAACCACTAGTGCTGGTGTATTTATGGCAGCTGTTGCAGATTGCAATAATTTAAATGTCATTTAATTTCAATTAAGATTCTCCACTTAATGTCCAGTTTGTTACTGGACAGTCCCATTTCCCAGTCTGAGCGTGTAATGCTCTAATAACCTGCCATCAGCTCACTGTCACGTTCAATGTGTCAAACTGTTTCAGACTCACAAGCACATGAAGATCAGGAGGTATGTGACCCATCATTGACTCTTTTTTACACATTTTATATTTATTTCATCAAAATCAGTCTCTTATTTAAGCCTTTGATTGATGAGGGTTCACCAGACACTTTGTTTAATTTGAAGAGAATTCTCAACTTATAAGGTAATAATTTACATCTAAATTTTACATTTTTCTCAAGCAATATGAAACTATGGAGAAACATAGTTTGAGATTACACAGAGAAATTGCATTGCTTTTACAGGGTCCGCTTCACATTTTGTTAAACTAATTGATTTTCATTAATGACATCGTGTACATCTGTCTGTTCTCCCTGATCTTAAATGAGAGCACAAAGAGGTCGCACAAAAAAGATCATTTCAAGTTATGAGTCTTTCTCTCTACCATCTGCCAGTCGCAGTAATACGCTTGAGAAAAAAACACATTTTACAATTACAGCCATTGTCTTTTTTGTTTTGTCTTGCCAGGTCAATTCAATTCAATGTATTGGACAGAAACATCTATTCACCAACAACAGATCAGAGAATCAAACAGTTCAAACACAGGAAATGCAATGATAAGAAACACATAGGAGTCATTGGTCCATGGTGAGTAGGTTATAAAATCTTATTAATCTTGCATTGACAAGGAACACCTGAAAAAGGGCAAAGCCCAATCTGTCTATTCAGGGCATTTACCAGATGAATGAGTTTGTGAGGTGTTAAAACATGTTCATTAAAATATTGCTCCCTCAAAGCATAATCCACTATCAGGGCTGCTCACAATAACATGTAAATATACCTAAATGCGGACAAATGATAAGGAATATCCCTCACCTAATTGGATTTTATCAACCTTGTGATCTTTCGACCCTCACACTCCACTTTCAGTACACTTGAAGAAATGAGCAGCGTATGCGTCAAATTGAACAATTGCCAATTGACCTAATAAAGTGTGTTCTTAATGATAACACAACTTTAGATTGCAGGCAGAGAGGGCCCTTATCCACAATATGCTAGTCCTCTGTCATTCTTTGACTATATGTTGCCGCTAAACTGTAAATGCTTCAACAGTATATCATGTTTACAAAGTAGGACATTTTGTTTTTGATATTAAATGGAGATATATCTTTGATTTGTAATTGTTATATACAGTCTATGTGTGTAATATAGTGATGGATTTTCAACATGACCTGCTTTTTTGTGGCATTTGGTCCGTTTTGCATTCTGCACAATGTAAAACTGTGTTTCAGTTTTACATTGTGCAGTTGTCAAAGTCAAATACATCCAGAGGGCCAAAATAAAAAATTTGCTGAAAGCCCATCGTTCAACGTTTTTTGAAACATATTCAAATGATTGTATATTGAACCAAGAGCTAACACAGTGTACCGTACTTTATTTATTTTATTTTGAAGTTTAAATGAATAATCCAATATTTTTGTGTGGCTCTGTCAGTAATTTCAAGTGAACATTTTTTTCAACAGGCTCACAGACAAAAATAATCTTCCCTCAAAGAGAAAACACTTGTTCTGAACATTAAAATAATAATCCAATATTTAATTTTGGCTCCGTGTCGGCCGGTTCTAATACTAATCGAATATCATCCAGGGGACCAAGATAATTCATTTGAGGGCCGGATCTGGCCCCTCGGCTTTGATTTTGACACCCATGGTTTAGAAGCTTCATTATTGAAAGTGCAGTGTCTGTTGCTCCTTTCTTAATGAGGACAATTATGTGGCTAATATAAAGGCCATTCATAAAGTGCATGGGTTTAAATTGATCCAGGCATGTAGACACTGGTTTATGGTTACTTTGTCTGATTCGGCTCAAATTATTTAATAAAACATATTCTGTTGGTGTTTAATTTACCACCATCCTTAAGGCCAAGTAGTGATTTCTCAGTGTTGTAAATCCTCTCCAATTGCTTATAGCCTGAATCTATTTGGTTTTTGAAACTTACTCTTACTCCTGTATTTTAACTTACAAGGTAAAACTAATAAATGACAGAATCACTACACACAAAGTGAGATATATCAAACCATTATTTGATATAACATTGATTATTGGCTTACAGCTTGGAAAAACCCCAAATAAAATGTGTAAACCATAATCTAAATTTTCCATTTTAAATTGAATTACAGCAATAGATGATTGATGACTGCTGTCGTTGTGTCCTTGGGCAAGACACTTAACCCCACTTTGCCTGAAGCCCCAACTGAAAGATCTCAGCTCCTGTGGACTCACCACCTGCAGGAGGATCAGTGAGGGGCTGGTGCTCTGTGGACTGGGTGGCATCTCTGACTGCCCCCCCTCCGACCCAGAAATGGATTAAGGGGAAGAAAATGGATGGATGGATGGATGGATACAGCAATAGATTAACTTTTGAACTTTGAACTTTACTTTGGTTTAAAATGACACTTTTCATATTCACCTCACAGTTGGTCTCCTCAATTGAAAACGTTTGCCTGTATAGGTGTATTTAAGTACCAATGTAGCCCCTTTCAAAACCACTGTATAAAAATACTTGTTTTAAGTGAAAAGGCCCTATAAGCAGGTGGAATTATTGGCCAGTGAGGCCTGGAACTTATCAAGAAATCTTGAAATAAGATACATTACCATGATCTTATATTAGAGTAAATATTATTTAGTTGTGCTAAAAAAAATGAGGTCAGCAAGATATATTTGTCTTGTGTTAAGTTAATACATCTTGATTTGTTTTATGTAATTGCAGTGTACAAAGTTGTGTCTTGTATATTTTGGTAGCTGTTCTGCTCACTCTAAAAGAACAGAAAAGTTGCATTACATAGATCACAGACTTTGGAGGAAGTCACGAACTCTCGACTGAGTGAAGTGGTCGTGTTGATGGAAAGGAAAGAGCTGGACGTGTGACAGGGACAGTGGAGGTGTGGGGGTGTGGGAGGGGGTCAGACGCAGAGAGGCAGTGACACAGATAAACAAACAAACTGGAGCAGAGAGCGTGGACGTCAGCTTCACCAGAGCCTGCCCTGGCACTGACAGTGGCCTGACAGAGGTCACACTGCTGTAGGGATGGACTGACAGGAGAAGGCGGTCAGGGCTGGAGCTCCATACTGTGGAGGATGTGGATGACTGGCTGTTTATTATGATAATATCCAAATGTATAAAATGCCAACTGTACAAGCTTGGTAGTTAGTCAAGCATGGGTCCATTTCACCAAGTGTGGTTGGCAAGTTTTTATTGCGTCAGGGGCTGAAAAATAGGGTTGGTATAGAAAATTATTCACAAATACAGCATATGACCCTGAAAACAACAATATGCAACACACAACTGTGAGTGCAACAGCACTACATACAGAAAGTTCAAGGTGTTGTGTTTGCAAATTCCACCATGTAATTTTTTCCATCTGGACAGATTGGAGTTATATATTCATGGTAGAAGTTTCATTACCGTGTTTATGCCAGGGAGCAGTGAATTTCACGTGGTTTTATGACCTTACGGAAGCAATACCCAACCTGACCATTGGTGGCGCATCTGTTGCTGATTAAACCATATTCTGAAATTGCTGGAGTTCTGTCCCTGCTGATCGAGTAGTGGTTAAATTCTGCGCAGTGTTGCATGCAGCAAGGGTAAAATTCCGGGACAGCCATTTTTGTTTAAGGGCTAGGGTTGGTGGGAGATTGTTTTATGCTCTAATTACATTATTACTGTTAAGTAACTTTGATAAGCATAATGGTCTGAAAATACACACTCATATGATCTCTAGAGCCCCATAGATGGGAGGCCTCTGCGAGAGTGGTGAGGGCTTTCATCGCCGCTTGCAGCTTTAATTTAGAAGTATTGCTTTATATAGCGCTTTTATGGACACTCATTAATCTTTCCACACGGTGGTGATGAACTGGTACTGTTGCCACAGCTGCCCTGGGGCACATTGACAGAAGCAAGGCAACTAGTATGTGCCATCGGGCCATCCGATCACCACCAACCATTCACGCAGACACCAGACTCATTCTAGGCAATGTGGTTAAAGTGTTTTTTGGCGCTTTACAGCCGTAGCCGCCCCACTGTGGCACCTGGTGTTCCTCAAGGTCTCCCATCACAGTAAATGTAAATCAAACACATCAAATTCAAAATCTATATTTTAAATGCTTTAATTTGCTCTTATTTATAATTATAGGTATTAAACATTTCCTATGAATATAAATTGCTTGCGTAAACATAGACAAC